TGTACTTTTAGTTTTTCTTTTTCATGCTCGTCCCGTATCGACCCCGTGTAAACACAGCCTGCAGTTCAGCCCAGTTTACCTCAAAAGGCCTCGAATTTCTGTCGTGTCGCTGTTGGTCGCAGGGGAGTCGCTAATGGCTTCACAGATGGAGTTTTTTTTCTAGTTTTTTTACAGAATCTGTTTTCTGCTAACTGCTTTTTTTTCTGGGCAAATGCAGAATAAAGTGATTTTGAGGGATTTTAAGCTTGCACATAGTTCCATTTCCGACGGAACCTCATGTCACAGATCAAGATAAATGGTCTAATTTTGGCAGTTTTTTAAAAAAGATAACATGCCTTTCAAAGCCATCGGGGGATTTCAGGGTTCAGGGGGTTAGATAGCAGTCTGGACCATTCATGCTCCGTGTTCATTCATGTCAGTCTGGACTCCTTTGCTCCAGGAGGCTTTTACTGCTTTCGTACAAGAGGAAATTGATGGCTTAAGTGCTCGCCGGACACTGGAGATTATGTCTCATTTCTGTGTATATCTATAGATGAGCGTAAGTGCCTTCCTTCATGTATGCACGAATTAGCATAATGCACAAAGAGCGCTCTCATCAGGTGTCTGATTGTGGAGAATCGTAACAATTGAAAGGGCGCTCTCGCTGAATGTGAGATGAGACGATAGTAACCCATCCAGTCCTCTCACATTCAACACATCTTTCTCCCTAATTGCTCTGGGCAGCTTGCATAAAACACACCCTTAAACGTAAGTGCTGATCTGTAGCCGGTTTGCTTCTAAAGTCATTGTTAAGTTTATACGATTATGCAAGAGAACAGATCCTAAAAACCGTGATGCCGTTCCTCTGGGTTCCCCACGTTCGCCTGACTGAATGAAGCACAAGCTGTGGAGTGGTGGCCTAAATTATTCATATACACATACAGGCAGGAGTGTGTTAAGGCTCAGAATATTTTAGCCCCTATAAATGGTACAAACTGGCTGATGAATAGTAGTTTAATGTAATCAGATCAGCAGGATGCAGTTGTGCTGAAAGTTGATAAATGATAATCTAACAGGCAGCCTAACTAAGTATGTGAAGGCATGACAACACTCTTTATATATGCTGGATTATATGTTCATCTAGTTTATCTAATCATGCAGCATTATTGAACCGTGTGCATGGCAGGTGTCTAAATGGACCTTTTTGGTGACAGTGAGCTGAAAAATGAGCAGCTTATCAGGTTTGAATAGCGCTAATGTAAGCTCGCTCGTTGGTCGTAACTGAATTTACAATATGAGATAAACTCGTGGAATATTAAAATGATTTAAAGGGCCGACGCTGAAATTATAGTTTCAGCCCATTTTTCTGAAATACAGCACACACTCCCAAACGCGCCTTGATTTTTTTTTCCCCTCCTCATCCCACGGGCCGTTTATCTGATGTCAGTTTTTTTATGCCTCCGCCCCGGGAACAGCAGCAGCACAAACCAGAGAGTTTCTTGGGTTTGTCCGTTATGAGAAAATAAAGTTTCACAAGCGCTGATTTAGTTTTAAACTAAATGGGACACTCCTGAACACAGCTGCACAGAATGAAAAATGTATCAGTCCAGTTGATTTAACAGCTAAAAGCTCATCTCTGGGTGTTGAAGTTACACATTTAGATCCCTTCCTGCCTTAAGATGTCTTCGATGGGACTCTTTTTTATTTTTATTTAACCAGATAAAAGACCCATTGAAACCTCTTTCACGAGGGTGACCTGGCCAAGAAAGGCAGCAGCACAAATAAACACAACAAAACAATCACAAAATAAAAAATGGAAAAGCGTAGACAGTAAGCAGGTAAAGTGCAGGAGGGATGACTTCGGTAACGGTTTAAAAACACAGGCACTGCTGAAGGGAATGTTGTCGTCGGTCGTTTAGGAAAGAGGCTTCGAGGGACA